ATATTAACTGAAAGTATGTAACGAATTTTTAATTTGATTAAGCTTTAAATCATTATAATATTTTTCATTCTGCATTCAGCACTAAATATAATAGCTATATCATAAATATTTGTTGAAAAATAATCTCTCTTTCATACTTTTCTATTAAAATATGTTATAATAATAATAATTATTCTCTGCAAATATTGAATTAGTGAACTTTTAATAACGATATGAAATAATTATATCTTCAGTAAATATGATCTAACCAACGCACGTAGCGCAATTAATGAGATCGGCAACTATCCAAAGCACCATCTAAATTACACTCTTGGAAAAATGCCAGGATGAATGAAGTCAACGAAGAGACGCACGATAAGCAAGCGAGTCGCTCGACCGCTTTCTGACTCGAGTGCATTCGATCTTGCGCGATCAGCAGGCTGGTTTCCACAATTCCCGGACCGCCGCGCTTAATTTCGGCAGAAATTACGTAGATTTAACTCACCGCAGCGGCTGCAATTTATCGCGGCTTACATACCGCCGTAGCGCCGACAACGTTCGTGACTGGAAAAGTATCAAGTGGATTTGTGGAAATGTGGTAGAACGTCCAGCCTGGATTACTTATACATTTGCCCGGTGAATAATTAACTGTTATGTTCCGAAAAGAAAAAAAGAAACAAAAAGAAAAGAATGTATTCGTTCTCTCCTGCACGATGTAATTAATTTTGTCTGCCTACCTCCGACATCTTACACGGTAGTTCCCACAATTCTAATCACATCGCATGGAATCGTGTATGTTTGATAAAAAACCGTGGACGCTTGACAAGTTAATGTTAATTGCAAAAATATTTACATCAAAAAATTTTGACGTAAACACAAGTAATTAAATTACGCAATTAGGAAATTAAAAATGTTAATTATTTAATTAATTATTTATATGATAAAGAATTTCGTCACTTGCAATCAGCGCCGACGTAACAAGTTTTTCTTCCCTCTGTTATTACATATTGTTAGAATAAAATTACACGTAATTTAAATGAAATTCGCAGCAGGATTTCCATATTCCATGGAGTGCTTGTATTGTTAATTAAAACCCTATAGAAATTACATTTGGTTTCCAGCGATCAAAAAGCGGCGTATTTATTAAATTATATGCAATCTCATATAAATGGCCAATCAGTCTATCGCTGAATCCATACTCTCGCATCCTACGAAGCGACACAAAAAGATATTAAAGGATCGCAAAGCGCTACGAGCAATCTTCTCGATCGCACGTCAAAGGCGTCTGTAGGATTTTTGCTAGAAGGGGGTATGATCCAAAATATAATAATAATAATAATAATAATAATAATAATAATAATAATAACAATAACAACGTTTTTATTGCACAATTTGTTTTACATACAATATTTATATTTACATACGTGTGTATATTGGGAATTTTATAAATACATATTGATACTTAGGAGGTAAATCTATACTAAAATAAGTAAAAAGCGTCATATAAACATATCTTAGTTTTCAAATTATGACTGATTAAGAAAAATGTTCGAAATGTAGGTATTTCGAATATTTTTTTAATCATGCATAACTTGAAAACTAAGATATGTAGGACATATGTTCATTTGTTTTAGTATATTATAGATTTACCTTTTAAAGTATTGACATACATTTATGAAACATCCTGTATATTCACACACAAAAACTTATTTCGAGAATTAAAAAAAAAATATATATATATATATATACGTATATTTAATTATAAATGTATACACCTTTTAGTATACATAATGATAGGTTTAAAAAATTTTTAAAAGTTTTCTCACCGCGACAAGATAGGTGTAAGTCAATGAGAAATTGTATTAGAAATCATCGGCTGAGGGAGGAGATAGCAAATGCCCCTTCTTGCCCCTCATTTTGAACGCCTATGCTTGAAGCTCCAAAAAGAGGCATCCGTGATCTCGCAACGACGGCGGAGATGATTCGAAGAAAATTGGCGGGTCCTTCGACTTACGATCGCGTGATGAGTGATAAATAATTCGAGCCGCTCGCGAGAAACGCGTAAATCACTGCACGAGATTAAACAGACGAGTCGAGGGTGTTCTGCACCCTCTGATCGTTTATGTTTTTGTCATAATATTTTATAGACTTGCAAAAGGGGCGCAGAAAAAGGGCACGTCAGAAGCACGCTACGTACCCATCATCCTCATTCTATTCTGGAAGGTCCATCTTAGCAGGAGACGAGACAGACTCTCTTTCTGTTGTCGACTTGATAACGAAAAGTGGATTAAAATGGCACGGATAAGTTCAGAATATTACAGTCGCCGTCGGTCTTTGCATATGCGCGCGATCTTTTCATCTCGATGAAAACGTCGAGGTAATCGCGAATGCCTTATGCCGGAAATTGCACGGCGGGAAATGAAGTGTGATATAAATACGTACTCAGTAATGTGCAATAATAAAACATTGCGTAATATAAAAACGTCATACAAAAGCGCAGGCTTTCTCGTATTTTAATATTGTCGCGAATATGTAAACTGTATTATAACGCGACCGCTTTATCGTAGTTACACAATAATCTTTTTAGCAAGAAATTATTTTCTACTTTGAGAGAAAAGAGGGTTTAATGTCAGAGTTTGAATATTTTAATCTCACTGCTTATCTGTGGCAAATTATACAGTTTTTTATTGGCTTATTTCTTAGTAATAACATTTTATTTCGCCGTAATTTAAATAAAGATTTATTTCAATGAAATAAATATATTTCTCACAAATAAATTCTTAAATATTTTTTTCTCAGTGTACTTGATAAATATAAATTAAGTAAATATTTTCAAAAAATGAATATTTATAATAAGAAAATTGCGTATACAGTATGTAAGTACATGGAAAGGTTTTGCTGAGCTGTCTAAAGATTTAGCTAAATATAGATAAAAATAATTACCTTCGACCATCAAAATAATTACGTAGAACGCTTAAACGTTGATAACAATCCTGCATAAAGTTTTAATATTCTCGCTGCTAGTTTAAGCACGTCCTACACAATTATTTTGATGGTCCACAAACAACATTGTTTCTAGATCTATGTATATTTAATTACATTTTTAAATACTTCAGCAAAACTACTTTTCGTCTACTTAGATATCACAACATTAACTCTATAAAATTATGAAATAATTAAATTAATGTAGTTTATTATATAATAATGCATGAAAGTCACAATGATTATCTCTAAAGTGCTCCAGATAATTAAGTCAAAACGGTTCAAGTAATAATTTCACATTATCGATGGTACCGATCAGTAACAACGTGTCGGGCGATCCAATGAGTACCGCGAGATCATTGAGGATAACGAGATAAATCGGTTATGAGGCACCTCACTGGAAGTGACATAACGCAAATAAACTGTCCAACAGGAGAGGAACGTGATTACGTGAGGGGCGGAGATGCTCTTAGCCTCTCTATCTCGGAGACCAGAGAGAGTTTCCTGCAGTCTATGGGATTTGGTTTACGAGGGTCGTCGTTATCTGATACGGCAAACGGCGCCACCGCAGAGCAACGGCAACCAGCCGCGCGGATCTGCACGTTTGGTCCGAATCAAAACCACTACCATCACAAACTACCACCATCCTGGACTATCCTCGCGACTGTAGTTTCGTTTCGGGAAGAGCAAGGCGAGTTAACAGATCGATGATTCTGTACAAGACAGACATTATAGTTTTCAGGTGCTTCAATCTAAATGACTGCGCGAATAGAGCTAATGGAGTTCGATCAAGTTGACTAACTCCGAATCGATAGCAATATATTTTACCATGCTACTCTCCCTTTCGATATGGAGGAGGCAAACGTGTACAAGATATGATAAAAATTTCGCGGAAATGCGACCTTTCGTAAAAGTATGAAAATTTTCGACAGCTATAAATTGTCCTATTTATATTTATTTTCTGCAATATTTAAAGTCATATACTGGTCATTAATTGTTCAATTATGTAATATCTATTCAATATTTTTACCTATCAACTTTACCAAGTTTTTACATTTGACTTACCTATATATTTAATTATTGGCTTCCATAAAAATATATTAAAATAATTTATGTCTTTTGAAAATATTTTGATGAATTTTGGTAAATTAATAATGAAGCACTTTTAACATCGCCGATTTCTCGTGTTTGCTAAGAATATGTCGATCTGTAAATATTCTATATCAAGAGACACGACAATTTTGCGTCCATATATCATTTGAATTTTTTTTATTTGATATTATGATGTTTTGTTCGAACAGCACATATTGATGTTTTTTTCTTTTTTTTTAAATACATTGGTTGAATTCTTTTCAATTTGGTACAATGATTTTTTGTTCGAGCAACGCATCTGCCTTTACCTTCTTTTTCTTAAAAAGGTAATTTTGTGTAATTAATATAATAACATCATAAATAACTATAGTATATTTCATCGCCTAAAGAGACGTTGTTCCTTCATATACCAATTATTGCGAAGAATATTACTAAGCCACGATAGTTAAAGGCTTAGGACTCGCACGGAATGCAAGAGATCTGGGTTTGACTCCTGGCTGAGGTAATATTTTTCGCAATAAGAATTAATTATTTACAGATTTTAATATATCATTTAATATTATTAAGATCGTTTTGAAGATGCGAATAAGTATCAAAAATTTGTTAAATTGATAGTCAATTTAACTTATAATATTACTGCGATAATTTAATAGAGTTAGCGTTTCAAGACCGAAAAATCATTTCGGTGCACGTTTCTGGGGTCTACATACGTAATATATAAATTCACAAAAGAATCATACAAGCATTAAGATCCAGACCTTTTAAGACTTTGATTTCTATAGTTTATAATATATTTGATTTTACTGACAATTAAATTAAAGATAAATTAGCGACAGTTTTTTTATATTTTTGCATCGAATCTTTTGTACGGATAGCGCGTGTACTTGGCGGTGACTTTTTTATCTCTTTTTTAAAAGATAATTATTTACGATGAAATATATACATACCTTGTTGATTTGCCGCTGCAATTTTGTGATCGTTGCTCGATCTCGTTGAGCCGCGATACGTTCCGCCAGTAACGCTTGCTCCAACTCTTGCACTCGTTCCTCCAGGCTTTCCTGTAACAACGAAAAACAAAATGTAATAATTAAATAATAAGATATCACATAATTAAACATTTACACCAGGGTAACTCCGGTATATACGCCGCACCTATCAAAAACTTAATTTATTAGTATTATTTACTATGTTTAAAGTAAACTATGTCAGTAAAAACTTTGTACTGTTTACTATTATGGAAAAAATATTAGAAATCCGAAATATTTATATTTCGTATTAAAAAATTTTTAATACTTTTTTAAACCCTAGTATTTTTGCCGTATATCTCAGAAGTGGGATATATGGCTACTCATAAGAGGGGCGGGAGTATGTATGGCTCATAAAAAATTTACAAATAATGCAAATAAATAAGGCATAAAATGACACAATAACTTATAAAATGCGTTTATAAAGGAATAAGAATGATAAATATGTATATGAAGTAATAAATAATAATTACAATCTTTCTACATGTATTACAAGTGTTATGACACGAGGTACGTACATATTGCATGTAATGCGTTTATTGCATTTAGTGCACTGAATTCAATCTGCGCATTTTGTATGCTTTGGGCATAAATCCCGCTCGCTAAAAATGCCGTATATCTCAAACATTGGATATACAAGACAACAAACTGTTCAAAGAATACAAGAGCAAAGTATTTGTATTTTGTTATACAACATACTTTACTATTCCTGTATACTCACGTATCACAAAATAACCACTAAGTCTTTCGCACTGTTCTATAGTAATCATTTTCTGTAGATTATTATTTATGGCGTTACTTATTACAGTGACAAATTGATTTAACTTACAATAATCATTAATATTAAGAAGCTGAAATCATAACAATACTAATATAACATAAAGGCATGTAACAGAGTAATTACGAAAATTACCACTCCTTCTATTTTTTCTGACTTCTGCGTAAATCCTAGCGCGACATACTTGTCAGAATTACCCTAGACAAGTGTTTTATGCACTATGTGTACAAACAGTATAAGAACAATTGAATGATATAAACTAAAATTATTTAAACGAGAAAAATAGCTCGGCTTCGTATATAAATCGATATTGCGATCAAGAGCACAAACATTACAACGATTTCCAATTAACTTCTCGTCAAGTGATGCAATTCCGAAGTCTGTCCGTAACTTTCGGCGAGATATTTCCAACGTAATTCCCGTTATCTGAGTTTTAAGCTGCCTTAACGGAAGCTTAAACTTCAAGGAGAGAGATCACACTCTCCTCCGTGTACTTGGAGATTACGCGCCGATGCATGTCGAATCCCCAAAGCGAGAAACCTTGTCGGTCCGATCGATTCTTGTCTGCTTGCGATTTGCCAAGAAAAACATACATCGATACAAGTAACCTTGTCAACGAGTGACAAACTTTCATTTAGATCTAATTTAAAATTTGCATTTCATTTAACAATAATTTTAAATACAATATATAATAAAATATCATTGAAACATTTAGAATTTTAATTCAGAGATAATGATTATCAAATATAAAAATATTGATTCATTTATTGCTTAATTCTTACATTGAATGAGCAAAAATTGTGTTCGATTTATTATTCAAAATCCAAGCAGCTGCATTAAACATGGATGAAATTTATATTTAAAAAAGAGTACATATATAGTGTATATTAGTAATTCAAGATTGAATTATTTAAAGCAATGAAGATCCAGCTTCGACCGTAATAGACATTTTTCTAATATTGATTGTGTTTCTCACATATGCGGTCTAAAATAAAGATTCTTAATATTGTTTAAAAAAAGGTCTTATAGCTCTTAAAATGTCTCGGTAGTCTAAAGGCTAATGCTTCTACAATAGGGTCGCAAGTCATAAGAAATTGGCCAATCACAGTTAAATATAAAAAAATATAATCGATTATGATTAATTTTTTACGGCTTACGGTTTACGACTCTATTGTAGAACAGGCTTTAGGACGCTCACACGGAATGCTAAAAGAGATCCGAGTTCGATTCCCGAGGTAATATTTTTCGCAATAAGAATTAATTATTTATAGATTTTAATATGTCCCTCAACATTATCAAGCTTGTTCTAAGATGCAAAAAGGCATCAAATTGCTAATCAATTTACACAGTTTAAAGGACTACATATGTAGTATGTGTATAAATTCATACAGAATTATATTTATAAAGTATTTAAGATCCAATTAAAATCGTTAAAGACTTTGATTCTATTGATTTATGTTCTCATATGTATTGAATAAGATTTAATATTGTTTAAAATTTCTATTTTCGCGCGAAAGGTCATTATGTTATTTGAGTTTTTATAAGTTTGATAGTTTTTACATATATTGTATATAAAAAAAATACGCGAATTAGATAAAATGAGAAATTTTTTTCTCACTTTGTAGGCCTGTCACGTACCCAAAAAGATTTGTAAAACTTTCGACTTTCCAACTTGAAAGTTTCAAGTTTTCTCTTCAAAAGCAGTTTTTAAAAATGTTCCTACGATTTTTTATTATTGAGTTATCGTTAAATAAAAAAAAATATCTTCACTTTGATTGCCCATAACTCTGTTAACAATTCTATTGCAATAAAAAAAATAGATTCTTAAAATGGAAATTTATTTCCCTTATCGAATAGTATATTATTATATAATAGGTAATTGCCAATTTGAGTAAAATATTATATCCTAAATTTATATGAGATTTCTTTTTTTTAATCGGATATGAATTTTTGCATTCACCTAATAAAATATTTAAAAATAATTTATAGTAAAAAATAATTGTTAATTATCAATTATTAATTACTAATACTGTTAGTACTTTTATTGAAGTTCTGATTCAATATTGATCTTTTAAGAAATTATCCAATAATTACGTTAAATGTTTCAAAACTTTGATTGATGAAAGATTACCGATATTCATTCAATTGAATTGGAATTCCAACAAGCAGAGAGATTCAACCTTTTCAGCTTCACTACAGTTTTCTTGAAGACATCGCCATAGCTATGCTCGAATTGATTTACATCCTTCGTAAGGCATTTCTGATTATTATCAACGACGGTTATTGGGACCGCGCCGCGCCAGGACGGAATGGTAATGAGCGGACTCCCTTGGTCTACAGGGACTGTTGGTCGCGATTTGACCATAAGTATTAGGCGCGATCTATTAGATTCGAAGCGACGCCGACGCAGCGTCGGTGTTCTTCCTCCCTCTCATCCTCGTCCTCGATTCCTTCTCGTACACGCGGAGGCATTCGTATGCGGGGGCACGTAGCCGCAATTCACCCTTCCCGAACCCTCGGCCACCGCCGATGCTGCGCCGACAACGCGCAGCCATTGTTTGCCGTGAACGGTTCTCGTCCCGCACGCAGCAACTGCAGGAACATTTATTTTTAAATCGGTACCATTGCGGAAGAGAAAATTTTTCTCGACCGTACTTCCGAAAGACTACATTTGGAGAGATTTTGCACAAATTTAAATTATCAAATTTTCTTTTTCAGAGTATTTATTGAAATTTTTAAAGAAGAGACTCTCTGAGATTTTCCAAGTATTTTTATTTAAAATTTCTCCAGGTAAGATTAGAGAACCGTTTAATGCAATTTTTTGAAATAAATCAAACAACAGAAATAAATTATCTACGTATGTATTGAAAATTAGTAGAAGGTAAGAATTTCACGAGATTATATCTATCATTTTTTAGAATTAAATTCGCTACATGTTTTCAAAAAGAAGACAGAATTCGAATTTAAATGTAAAATTCCCATTTCCCGAGTTCCGCTAAAATTTCATAAAAATTTGATTTTCAAGAGTAAAGAAAAAAATATCTTAAAATTTTCGATTTTCCAAGTTTTTTCAAATAGTATACATCTTGCTTTCATTAAAAACACTGGATGTCAAAAATTTCTCACGTTAACAAATACGTTTTAAAGTGTCATATAAAAAAGTCTGAAATAATAATTATTACTTCCGAATTCTCGAAATTTTTTGGTGATAAAGTAGGCAAGCATAATATAAATAAAAAATTGTGTAATGCTTTCTGAAAATCAATCAATGATTTCAGCGTTACACTTATAACTTACGTATCATCAGCAAATATTTATTGTTTTTCAGTAATAAATACACTAATTCGCTTTTAAAGAATTTTCTACAAAATAAATCTGCAGAAAATCATAACCTCTAAAAATGTATTAGTGTATTTATTACTGAAAAATATAAAATATTTATTAATGATAAATCAGTTATAAGTAGGTGTAGCACTGAAGTCAGTAATAATACCTACACTGAATCACTTTTAGAGAGTACACATTATTGTTACGCACTATATTCCTATTCAAGAACTCGATGTGATTGATGACCAAAGGAAAAGAAAGGACGCCGAAAGGGATTGTACCCCACTTTAAAATATATCATGTCCCAAATAATTATAAAGCAGCGTGGCGGGAGAGTTTAAAACCTTCGTGACATGCAGTCATTCTTTTGCCGGAGGAAAATGTTGCAGGTTGTTATAAATCGGTATGATCGGCGAGATCTTTCTTTCTATGTAGAAACTAAATGCGGACCCATACAGCACAGAAAGATTGGAGAAACATTGCAGAATGATTTCACTGAAACATTGCAATATTGCATGGTGATTACGAAACGTTGCTGAATCATTGTTGCAAAATTCCAACAATGTTAAGATGTCCGCTTTTTTGTTATATTGTAACAAAATGTTCCAGCAATATTGCAATGTAATGTATTTGGATAAATTTTTTACGAAGACTCTCTAAAATGAAAACTATTTTCGATACATATATCTCACTAACAATTTTTCTACAAATCGCATTTTTAGTGACATGTGCTTTCCAAAAGTAATTTTTTATGATAAAAACCATAAAATATTCCAATAAATATAGTATTAATTCTGAAGGATAAATTTATTCGTAAGGATGAAGCATATATGTATGTGCCCCGAACAAATTGCACACAAATATTATCCATATTAATATAATAATACAGTCGCTTAGTAAGTTAATCATGGATTAAGTTAATCGCAGT